CGATTAATCGCATCCAAAATAAAAGTATTTGTTTACATAATATTTGTGTGTGTAGTGTACTTTGTATATTTATTACGTATATATAAATAGACACACATGCATGTATATATTTAAGAAAAATATGTTGTTTATATATTAAATATATTTATATATAAATTAAATTACATGAATATAAATATATACATGTAAATACATAGATATTTTCTAAATATATACTGTATGTGTGTGTATTTATATATACATAATAAATATACACAATACACACTACATATATATTATGTAAACAAAAACTTTTATTTTGGATGCGATTAATCGTTTGACAGCACTATTTTATTTACAACTTTGAAATATTTTTACAGTGTACAAATATTTTTAAAAACATTTTTTCTTGCTAAATTGAACTATTTGCTTCAAGGAATACATGGTATTACCCAGCTACATGTCTTTAAAAGCATATTTTACCAATTCCAACAACCACATAGCTAATTTAACTTAATTTAACTAAATTGCATGAGAAGTTTAATAAATGCTACATTGCATGAAGAGTTTACATGAAGAACAGACACAGCTGTATCATTATAATACAGCTGTAAACCATCATTCCAGTAATCTTTGTGTTTACGTTATGCAATAGTAATTTTGTATATGCAGCCTAATATCACAGAGCCCAGCTCCCAGTAGGACGGTTTTGGGGGATTTTGTTGAAAAAACACTGTGAAGTGGCCCAAAATAGTATTTAGGCACTTAAGCCACACTAAAAATTTATTCATTGATTTTATTGCATTAGATAATACGATATCAATTAAGAGGCATCTGCGCACAAATGCTGCTAGAGCTTTTCTCAGAAGTAAGCAATTTTTGCAATGACTGGTTTCAAGGTTATTTTAGGAGATGTATGAAGTCAGTTTTCTTGAAATTCACGGTTTAACTAAATATTTTGTATTAAATTTACATTTGTGTTAATGTTTATTCATTTAGCAGATGCTTTTATGTCTGAAAGCTTGTTTCACAGTATAAAAAAATAAAGGTAATTGTCACTTTTTATCTTACAAATTTCTGACTTTTTTCTCGCAATTCTGAGAAAAAAGAATTGCAAGATAAGCTCAGATTTGCAAGATGTAATGCAGAAAAAAGTCATTTGCTAGATGTTAACTCACAACTCGTGAGTTTATCATTTGCAGTTGCAAGATATAAAATTGCAATTCTGAGAAGAAAAGTCTGAATTGTGAAATATAAACTTGCATTTGTGAGAAAAAAAATCTGAATTGTTAGATAAAAGGTGAAAGGTGAAATAAAACTGAATGGTCTGAATCATGAGATATAAACTAAATACAAACATTTAGAGATGTAAGCTTTGAATTATGAGCAGAAAAAAAATCTGAATTGTGAAATCTTACTTTCAAATATATCAGAGCTTGATTATTTGCTATCCCATACAATAGCATCTAATAATACATACATTTTAAAGCATTTCTTCAGTGAATTATTTTTTGGGCCATGTAGCTTTTTTGTTGAGAGGTTGCTTCAAATGGCATGTTTGCCTTGAAGAGCTCCTCCACCTGTTTCGATGAAGCAGGTTTGTGTTCATTGTGCCTCCCACTGAGACAGCATCTGTTGATTTGTCTGGAGGCTCCTTACAGCACACATAGAAATGAGGGCACACTCTTGTTGTTTAGGCACATATTGACCTCCTGCCCTCTCTGATCTATCTGCTCCATCTCAGCCAGATTTAAGAAAGAAATAGTTCATGCAAAAATGAATATTCAGTGATTACTAGTCTTTTAAAACCCATATGACAGTCTTCCATATTTACAACATGTACAAGTACTGAACATATCAATACACTAAATGTTTTGCATTAGATTTTCTATATGTAGTCCCTACTGACATGAATTTAATCTGTGTCTATATCCCCCTCTCTCTGTGTTTCTCTGTCAGTTCGTTGGCCATGTCTAAGGTTGCAGTAAAGAAGCTGCACTGGCGCTCTAAAGTGCAGGAGACCTTCGTACCGCTGGTGGGCAGCTCTGGAGATTTGGGAATTGCCATCGGAGGCGGGGCTGATTATGGAGAGTTCCCATTCGTCACCGCAGCACCAGGGGGAGGGATCACAGTTGGCGATATTATCTTAGAAATCGGCGGAACTCCTGTTTTGGGCCTGACTTTAGGAGATGTGCGTGGGCTCCTAAACTCCTGCCCCCATCCAATCCGCATCAAGACAGTGTCTCCAGGTACTGTTGGAATTGTACATTCTCAATTGTCTGGGCTTAACATGGATTTTTGTTCTCTAAATATTTTTTTTCCTCCAGTGGTGTTTCTTATCGCTGTTAGTGATCCTTGTTAATTATTTAGCAAGGACACATTAAATTGATCAAAAGTGACAGTAAAGACGTTTAGAGCATTACAAAAGGTTACTATTTCATGTAAATGCTGTTCTTTTGAACTTTCTGTTCTTTATAAAAGTCCTTAAAGGGTTAGTTCACCCAAAAATGAAAATTAGGCTGTGTTTTACTCACCCCCGAGGCATCCTAGGTGTATATGACTTTCTTCTTTCAGACAAATCCATGACACTGAAGACTGGAGTAATGATGCTGAAAATTCATGCCATCACATTTAAAATTACATTTCAGAATATACTGAAATGGAAAACATTGCTTTCGAATTGTAATAATATTTCACAATATTACGGTTTTTATTGTATTTTTGACAGTTAGTTTAGTATAATTTTAAATATTATTTATTAATATTTTGAGCTTTTATTTTTGTATTTTCAGTTGAATTTTAGTTCACGTTTTAGTAATTTTGTTATGTGCCTTTGTCATTTTTATAAGCTTTGTTTTATTATTAGCTTTAATTTTATTTCAGTTTCAGTTTTACTCATTTTTGTACATCAACTAAAACGTTTAATTCAGCTTTATTTCAATTAAGGAAAATAAATTTGAATATTATTAGTTTTAGTTAATAATACCAACACAAGTTTTTGATCAAATGGAAGCAGCCTTGGTGAGAGATTTATTAAACAAGCGATTTATTTTAAAAAACGATTTTATTATTCAAAAATTGTACTGACCCCAAAATTATGAACAGTAGTGTAAATTGATAATTTTTTTGTGTTAATGTTAGTCCTCCTAACTATACCATTATATCAAGGGTTCTTACCCCCGGTTTCACAGACAAGGCTTAAGCTAGTCCCAGACTAAAATGCATGTTTGAGCTGTCTCAACTGAAAATATCTTGCTCTGACATTTCTTAAAATTTGTCAGTGTCATTGTTCTGTGTCAAGATGTACACCTGTAATGTTTTCTTCTAAGGCATTTTTGTAAAAGTTGCTTAAATATCTTATTTAAACTGAGGCCTAGTCCTGGCTTAAGCTAAGCCCCGTTTGTGAAACCGGGACTTAATGTCATAACAGTATGACATTCTCCGACAGCAAAAAAAAAAAAAAAAAGGTTTTCTGAAGCAGAACAAAATCCATCTTTGTCAACTGTTCATATAAATGGTTTGGTCCCTGGTTGCAGGATTGTGGTATTGATGTCACATGGGTTGTATGTCACCTGTAGGGGGCGCTGATATTTATCACAAGGTGTCATGGCATGATGATTTTTTTTTGTCAACCAGTTTGTCACACCTGACCATGACTTCCTCCGTCCTCTATTAGATTGATGAGCAACCTGAGTCCTCTGCCTCCCCCTCTTCTCTCTCGCTCTCTCTCTCTGCTGTTCTCACACCTCTAACACCTCCAACTACTAACTGCAGAGTATTAAATTGAGCTTTGTCAGTAAGGTTATAATTCACTGTTGTATGTTGCATTAGCTGATGAGAATATCTCATAGACCTAGAAATACAGACTTACGCATCCTGTTCTGTTATTAATATCGTCCTTTGATCTGCCTGTGTATCCTATATAAATGCAGTGGCCACAGAGAAGAGGAGCTTTGTGCTAATTCTGGCACTTCTATTTTAAAAAAGATCAATATGTACTGTCCCTGCATGCTGAAATACATTCAAGTCTTTATAAAAGCAACTCTGTCTTTCAAACAGTGGAACTGATCATAGTGAACGCCTGAGGATTTGCTTCATTTAGTCCTGTTTCATTTCCAATATTTCATGTTGATTTTGCACTTCTGCAATTTACTGAATTGCTATACTGGATGATAAATTAGTAAACTAAATGTTATATTGAGTGATGCTTGCCTGTGCAAGATTTGCCACCATGATGTGTGATGTGTTCTGGGATGCGTTTCCAAAAAGCAACTATGGTTGCAAGTTCTGTTGTTACCAGTAGAGTTCAATGGAATTTACGAACATAGTTAGCTAATGATGCTTTTGGGAAATGCACCCCTGGTTGCCAGATAAATGCAATATGGCTGCTGAGCTGTTCTGAGTGGCATTTAATGTGCTTTTACAGTTGAACAGTATTTTTGTTGGTTGCTTTAAGCTTTAAGTTGGTTGTTTTTGACAAGTTGCTATGTGGTTTCTACTGTATTCTTGATGGCTTCTATGGTGTTTCCGATAAGATGATTAATGTGTTGCTGTGTGGTTGCTAGGATATGGTTTGTTTTGGTTGTTCAAGGTTGTTCCAGGAGGTCGCCAGGTCATTGTTGCTGAGGTATTATTATTTTTTGTTTTTGTTTTTTATATTTTTGATGAAATCTGAGAGCTTTATGACCCTCCATAGAGAGCAACACAACTACCACATTCAAGGCCAAGAAAGGTAGTAAGGACATTGTTAAAATAGTCCATGTGACATCAGTGGTTCAACCGTAATTTTATGAAGCTACGAGAATGCTTTTTGTGTGAAAAAAAAAAAGAAGAAAAAAAAGACTTTAATCAGCAATTTCTTCTCTTCTGTGTCAGTCTGTTTTAATGATGTCCTTAATGCGTTTCTGGGCCTTGAACTTGTCAGTTGCGTTGCTGTCTGCCGGGTCAGAAAGCTCTGGGATCTCATCAAAAATATCTTCATTTGTGTTCGGAAGATGAACGAAGGTCTTACGGGTTTTGAACAACAGGAGGGTGAGTAATTAATGACAGAATTTTCATTTTTGGGTGAACTATCCCTATAATGTTTTTATGCAGTTGGGGGTTGCTAGTGTGTTGTGGGTTGTTGCCAGATCATTGCTGTTCTGTGGTGTTCTGAATGGTGTTTGGTGCATGCATTGCTATGTGATTGTTGTATTTTTTGCTTGTTGTATGTTCCAGCAGTCAGAAATCTTCTTAACGTTTAGAAAAGTAACAAGCTACATGATTTGAGGTACCATGTTCTTAGCACAAACGATGCAGGACTAGTTACGTGTTGATGAAATTTGTACAGATCCCTGACTGAATGCAATCCACACTAATTTGGCTGAATTAAGTAGATGGAGTTCAGAGAGAGCAGCAGGCCAGCAATAGCATCCTCCTGTAATAACATGGCGGTGATTAGAAACACCTCTAATATCTACAAAGGTTAATCAATACCGCCTCCAGGGACTGGGCAGAATTTATCTGTGTGTGTGTGTGTGTGTGTGTTTATTTTCGCAAGCTCTTCAGTTTTTTTGAATTGCAGATTTTGAGTTGGGTAAGCACATTGTCTCATTTGTAAATGTGAATGTATGGGATATTCTTACTGTATGTGTGAAATCAGAATGTCTCTGTTTGTTCACTTGTCCAGCTTTCGCTTTCTAATTCTTTTTCTCTCCTTTTTCCAGGCTCAACTCTATGCAAGGATCTAAGGTTATATCTGAGCAAATGTTTCACACCAGGTTCAATGGACAGTCAACTCCAGCAGGTGATCCGAGAAAACCTCTACTTGAGAGCTGTGCCCTGTGAGTACCCCAAAAAATACTGTTCAGAAGTTGCCTTTTTGAAGCTTAAAAAGATCTATATAGAGGTCTAATTTATGTTTAGTTTCAATGAGAAGTGTGTAGTTTTCCTAGCATTACAGACAGAATAAGAAAGTGACACTCAAACACTCTTCTGTCATTGGTCAGACAAACAGATAGCCCCGCCCCAAACTCACATCATTGGATGATCTGTTGCTGTGTTTGAATCAAGCGGCAACCTCCCCCTCTCTCTAGTGAAGCCATCAAGGAAGTGACTTAAACTGTAATTCATCAACTGGCCGCTAGAGGCTGGCTGCAAAAGGGAGTCAATCCCATAGACTCCCCATGTTAAAATGCCCAACTTTACAGCAGAAAAAAACATGTTTACATCAAGGCCAAGAAAGGTAGTAAGGACATTGTTAAAATAGTCCATGTGACATCAGTGGTTCAACCGTAATTTTATGAAGCTACGAGAATGCTTTTTGTGTGAAAAAAAAAAAGAAGAAAAAAAAGACTTTAATCAGCAATTTCTTCTCTTCTGTGTCAGTCTGTTTTAATGATGTCCTTAATGCGTTTCTGGGCCTTGAACTTGTCAGTTGCGTTGCTGTCTGCCGGGTCAGAAAGCTCTGGGATCTCATCAAAAATATCTTCATTTGTGTTCGGAAGATGAACGAAGGTCTTACGGGTTTTGAACAACAGGAGGGTGAGTAATTAATGACAGAATTTTCATTTTTGGTGAATGCTTAAACAAGCAGAGCAATGTTTTGAATCCTTAAAACAACTAAAAATGAAACTAAATGAGACACTATTTTCATGATACATATATCACTATTTAGAAAATGTTTATATATGGTAAGAATTTAAGTAAGATTAATGGGGATAATTTGGCTTTAGAAAGATTTGAAGAACTGTTTTATAGTATTTTATGTTAAGATATCTTTTATCTGAGTCTGAGACAAATCTGAGAATGGAAAACCAAAGCAAAAGTCTACATTTGCTTCATTTAATCTCATTGCATTGATTCATTTGTAATTATTCTTTTCTATGGTTAAACACACATACACACGCAAGTTTAAACAACCCAATAAACTACTAGAAAATGAGCTTGTTATTTCATGCAACAGCTCTTAACATCTTGCACGCAGACTGATCAAGCTCAAGGTACTGCAGTTTTTCTGATGAAGTGTTAATTGGGGTGTGATCCATTTAATGGAAAGCAGGTGTTGACAGCTCCAACTGGTTTCACTGCGACAAGAAAGCCAGGATGCGAGAGAATGAAAGAGAGATAGAGAAGGGAAAGGTGAAGATAGTTACAAATAAACAATTTTTTCTGTCATTTACGTGGCATTCTCATCCTCAGTCCCAACATGTTGTTATTTTTCTAGTGAATGCCAAGAAATGTTTGAAGAATCAGTTTTTATACTTTACACAATCCTTTAATATGAGCAGTGGTGTTTTGAATGCACATCTTTGACGCTTTGTGAGAGAAAACCCTCTTAACATTTCCATGCTTTTCACTTTGCTTTTCACGCTCTTTTCTATCAGTCGTCTCTCTTTCACATCCTCTGTTCCACTCAACTCCCTGTTGCTTCATTTTTCTCTGCCCTTTATCCTGAGCTTTAAAATCCTAATTATATTTTGAGTAATTTCTTTCCCGTTTTAATCTTTGTGCAGTGATAAGACACAGATTTGGATTAACCTCCATCAAAATCATAAGCTTTTGTTAAGTAGATGAAGTTCTGCTAGTTTTTACAGCGGAATTATTACCAGAGACATAAAAGCAGGGGGAAATCATAGGTGTATAAGTCCTGCCTTTCAGTTAAAAGAGCCAGTCACCATTTTTGATCGAGTACGGTCACTCTAAATGCATGATAACCCTAAAAATTAAAGGTTTATTGTGTGATTTGAGCTAAAGAAGCTGTCGATCAATCTTGTCAGATTTTATTGCTGATTTGAAATCTACTATTTAAGCAGAATTTTGACTAACAGTTTTGGAGATTTCTATTATTTACATAGAAAGTAGTTGTCTGGAGTGTTACCAAGATGGCCGCTGAGTGAATTGAATAGCCTTAAGGGGACTTTGAATTCATTGTGAAACTTTGGGTGAACTATCCCTATAATGTTTTTATGCAGTTGGGGGTTGCTAGTGTGTTGTGGGTTGTTGCCAGATCATTGCTGTTCTGTGGTGTTCTGAATGGTGTTTGGTGCATGCATTGCTATGTGATTGTTGTATTTTTTGCTTGTTGTATGTTCCAGCAGTCAGAAATCTTCTTAACGTTTAGAAAAGTAACAAGCTACATGATTTGAGGTACCATGTTCTTAGCACAAACGATGCAGGACTAGTTACGTGTTGATGAAATTTGTACAGATCCCTGACTGAATGCAATCCACACTAATTTGGCTGAATTAAGTAGATGGAGTTCAGAGAGAGCAGCAGGCCAGCAATAGCATCCTCCTGTAATAACATGGCGGTCATTTCATACCTATATGCTGTGTGTGTGTGTGTGTGCGCGCACATGTGGTTTCAGGGCTTATGTTCCTTTATGAGAACTGTGAGCTGTGTTTTATTACTAAGAGAGGTGGGGTGGGGGTGGGTCTGTCATTTTGATGGGTTCGAGAGGCACTCTGTTCATCTATAACAGCCAAGCGGCCTGTCATCAGAGACCATAAACCACAGCAGATGAAATAAAGAGATCAGCCATGTTGAGTGGAGCAATGGGCAGCCGTGCCAAGACTGTGTGTGTGACATTTTTCACTTTAATCCAAGGCTGTGTATGTGTGTGTGGGAGAACGTCTCTGTATGGCACACACTTTTCATTATAACCCGAATGTGTTTCTACATAGCGCAATACGGCATTATACTGACCATAAACACGTGAATTAATTGTAGTCTTCGATTGATGAAGTGTTAATTGGGGTGTGATCCATTTAATGGAAAGCAGGTGTTGACAGCTCCAACTGGTTTCACTGCGACAAGAAAGCCAGGATGCGAGAGAATGAAAGAGAGATAGAGAAGGGAAAGGTGAAGATAGTTACAAATAAACAATTTTTTCTGTCATTTACGTGGCATTCTCATCCTCAGTCCCAACATGTTGTTATTTTTCTAGTGAATGCCAAGAAATGTTTGAAGAATCAGTTTTTATACTTTACACAATCCTTTAATATGAGCAGTGGTGTTTTGAATGCACATCTTTGACGCTTTGTGAGAGAAAACCCTCTTAACATTTCCATGCTTTTCACTTTGCTTTTCACGCTCTTTTCTATCAGTCGTCTCTCTTTCACATCCTCTGTTCCACTCAACTCCCTGTTGCTTCATTTTTCTCTGCCCTTTATCCTGAGCTTTAAAATCCTAATTATATTTTGAGTAATTTCTTTCCCGTTTTAATCTTTGTGCAGTGATAAGACACAGATTTGGATTAACCTCCATCAAAATCATAAGCTTTTGTTAAGTAGATGAAGTTCTGCTAGTTTTTACAGCGGAATTATTACCAGAGACATAAAAGCAGGGGGAAATCATAGGTGTATAAGTCCTGCCTTTCAGTTAAAAGAGCCAGTCACCATTTTTGATCGAGTACGGTCACTCTAAATGCATGATAACCCTAAAAATTAAAGGTTTATTGTGTGATTTGAGCTAAAGAAGCTGTCGATCAATCTTGTCAGATTTTATTGCTGATTTGAAATCTACTATTTAAGCAGAATTTTGACTAACAGTTTTGGAGATTTCTATTATTTACATAGAAAGTAGTTGTCTGGAGTGTTACCAAGATGGCCGCTGAGTGAATCACAGCAGATGAAATAAAGAGATCAGCCATGTTGAGTGGAGCAATGGGCAGCCGTGCCAAGACTGTGTGTGTGACATTTTTCACTTTAATCCAAGGCTGTGTATGTGTGTGTGGGAGAACGTCTCTGTATGGCACACACTTTTCATTATAACCCGAATGTGTTTCTACATAGCGCAATACGGCATTATACTGACCATAAACACGTGAATTAATTGTAGTCTTCGATAGCATTTCTTTGCAGTTCTGGCCGGAAGGTAGAATAAACCTGGCTTCATTTGATTGATTAGAAACACCTCTAATATCTACAAAGGTTAATCAATACCGCCTCCAGGGACTGGGCAGAATTTATCTGTGTGTGTGTGTGTGTGTGTGTTCGCAAGCTCTTCAGTTTTTTTGAATTGCAGATTTTGAGTTGGGTAAGCACATTGTCTCATTTGTAAATGTTAATGTATGGGATATTCTTACTGTATGTGTGAAATCAGAATGTCTCTGTTTGTTCACTTGTCCAGCTTTCGCTTTCTAATTCTTTTTCTCTCCTTTTTCCAGATGAAGTTCTGCTAGTTTTTACAGCGGAATTATTACCAGAGACATAAAAGCAGGGGGAAATCATAGGTGTATAAGTCCTGCCTTTCAGTTAAAAGAGCCAGTCACCATTTTTGATCGAGTACGGTCACTCTAAATGCATGATAACCCTAAAAATTAAAGGTTTATTGTGTGATTTGAGCTAAAGAAGCTGTCGATCAATCTTGTCAGATTTTATTGCTGATTTGAAATCTACTATTTAAGCAGAATTTTGACTAACAGTTTTGGAGATTTCTATTATTTACATAGAAAGTAGTTGTCTGGAGTGTTACCAAGATGGCCGCTGAGTGAATTGAATAGCCTTAAGGGGACTTTGAATTCATTGTGAAACTTTCGTGGCCACTTCAGGAACTTCCTGGTGAGGCTGGTGCTCCGTTTTTCTCTTTCACTGTTCCTCAGACATTGTTTGAAAAGTTTTCAGTCAGTTCTCATAGTTCACCCAGAGGACATGATGGCGTCTGGCTCTGCATATGTGTTTGAGCATGTGTGGGAGTGTGTTTGAAATGTTGCGTAGACTTGAGTGGGGTAATCTCTGATTTATGGTGAAGTAGGTCATGCCGAGCTTGACGCTGCCCGCCGTGTGCCATTCTGCTTGCTGAGCGAGACGCACACACACAAACACACAAACAATAACTGCAG